TTTTTCCCTTCCCTTTCTTAGAAACAGGAAGTTGTGTTTGGCTAAAGACAAATTCTTCAGTGCCCGGGGGACTTACCAAGATGTTTGGAATGAGGACGAGGGTGTCTGGGGAAGGCTCCTCTGCGCTCTCCTTTCCGGGGCAATCGCGTATCTGCCTCGGGTGGGCTGGGCAGCTCACAGGGATGGAAGGCTCACCAGCGTCCCGTCTCCTCCCTGAGCCCGGGCCCGAGGGGACGGGTGTTCTGGAGGAGGCAGTGGCTTTCTGTCTCCTGCTACAGCACCGCGGTTCAGAATGTCTTGGACATCGGGCGTCCCCTCTTTCCTGCCAGTGCTGGGGCCGTGGCTATTTTGAGGGGTGTGGGGTAGCAGACATTCACCTGTAATGAAGACCAGCTACTTCCCACGAGGAGCGTCAGAGAAGCTCCCCATCTGCCAAGGGAGACATGCCATAAGTTGTCCGGGGCGCACCAATGTTAAGTCCGGCCCCTTGTGGACCCAGAATGCAGATACCTGCCTGGAAGCGACAAGATGGGACTGTGATGGCATGGCGTCCCAACCCAACCACTTGGCTTCCCGGGGACCCTAACCGTTGGTTCTGCTCAGCGTCCTGCCTTGTACCGTTTAGAGTATTTTCATGTGTAAGCTGACGTGACCACAGTCTTTGCTATTTTGATGATCTTTTAATACTTTGGGGCAGCCGTGGGGGTGGGTGGCTTCTTTCTCTTTCATGTTCTGCTCACGGCTCTCCCAAAGCTGCAGACCTGGCCAGAGGAGCACAGGGGGGCATGTCCCATAGACATCTCGCTGGGCCGCAGGGACAGCAAACCGTTGTCATGTGTCTCAGGGCTTCAGTACAGCGGCATCTCCCCCCTCCTCTGCTGTCCTGACCCGGGGGCAGAGTACTCAGAGCCGTGGGGTGGCTGTGGACTGGCCCGTGGCGGAGCCAGGCAGGGCTGTGCCTCTTCCCCCTTGGGGAGCTCCCTCCTACCAGGCACAGAGCAGAGAGGGCAAGGAGACCCTTCACCTAAAACTGTCTCTGTCTTCACCGTGCGCAGCCTGTCTCAGGGTGTTTTGGGCCTCATGTTCAGTACTGTACCCTCAACTCATCACAGAGGCTTAGGAAAGTGACGAGGCTGTGGCAGCAGGATTCCGGAAACCTGAGGATAACCATCTCCTCGGTAGATTCCACGTTTCTGTTCACTTTTACAGAGAAACCGTTTGGAACTCCTACACAGCAAAGGGGATGCTGCTGGACCCTGGAGGGACTTGGCGATCTGGGCAGAGCTGTGGAGTAAAGGTCACTGTGCCAGGGGAGACCTGGCCTCTGGGGTGGGGAAGAAGCATGTGTGGGACCTGCCTTGGGTTCCCCAGTGCAGCGGTCGCTAGCCTGCTCTGTCTGTGGACACAGAGGGAATACCGAGACAAAGACAAGCCCACATACCTGTAAGAACTTCCCCATCGTTCCTGTTCTTTGTTGTCGTTTTGAAGAAAGGTTAGAGAACAGGAAGGGCGCTTGGGGAAAACATAAAGCGCTACATGTTTGGGCACCAGGGAAGAGGACCAGTCCTCATTAAGAGGGCCCTCTTGGCTGGCAGGCGGCATGGTGGTTAAGGGCACTGGACTCCCCCATGGCTGACCACGGTTTGGGTCCTGGACCTGGCAGCTTGCTTTCTCACGTTCTCTTTCTCTCCCCCTCACACTCTGTCCCTCTCTGGTCAAATGAAAATAAATAGATAAATAAATAAATACATAAAGTTAAGTAAAAAAACCTTTTTTTTTTTTTTGAGAGCGCACACGCGCCCAGTGTGAGTTTTAAGCCACCGGGTCCGGGACACGAACCGCGGTCGACTATGTGGGAGTCCAGCGACATAACCATTACGCTAACTGCTGGTTCCCAGTAAAAAAAAATTTTTAAGAGGGCCCCCTTGATTAAATAGGTCAACATGGGGACCCGCAGAGGGCATAATGGTTACATTGCCGGACTTCCACATGGCTGAAAGCAGTTTGAGTCCTGGACATGGCAGCTTGAAACTCATGCTGGGCGCGTGTGCATACATGTCCAGGGTCCTTCGTAGAGAATGGAGGAGAAGGGATTGTGGCGTGACCATCCCCCCTGGGGGGTGATTTCTCACTTTCTGTCTGTCTCTGTCTGTCTGGCCAGCGCACACGCCCTATAGCAAAAAAAGAAAAAAAAAATTCTCTTGAAAAAAGTCCAAACATGAAGGACATACGAGGGCACTCCCAGAGTTGCTGGTGGATGTGCAGGGTGAAGGGACTGTGCTCGGATTCCAGGTGATCAGTGTAAAAATGAACTCGCACTTCAATTCCCTCTTTCCACGACCTTTATTTATTTATTTATTTAATTTCTTTTTAAAAATTATTTATTTATTTAGTCATTTATTTATTTTAATTTGACCAGGGAGAGATGGGGGGGGTGGGGGTGGGGGTGGGAAAGTAAGCCACCAGGTCCAGGACTTGAACCGTGGTTGGCCATGTAGGAGTGTCCAGTGCCTTAATCACCATGCTACCTGCTGGCCCACAACCTTTGCGAAGTCCCCTCGTGGAGCCTAGTGGACCTCACTAGAGGCAGGAGTGGGTCCAGCGCGGTGGCCCCACCAGCCCTGCAGGCCACCTGGAAGACATGGCTGGTCTGCACAGGGGCTGGGACCGCAGGGCCGCGCATGCGTAACTGCACCAGCTCTCTGGTCAGCCGCAGGGAAGAAGGTCAGAGAGAATTCCAGATGAGAATGCACTTACCTTAGTGGACTGGAAATGAACTTTGTTCTTTAAAAAAAAAAAATTATTTTCTACTTGTTTATTTTTGCTAGAGGGTGTGTGAGTTTAAATGAGAGAGCACTCCCCAGTGGAGTGTGGTCACACCGTGGTTCCTTTTCCTCCTAGTCAGGGTTCAGGCGTGCACACACACATGCCTACTGTGTTTCTCAGGCCGCCAGGGCCCCGGTTCAAATGGCTGCTGGCCACCCGGGGTCCTGCTCCCAGTGCACAGTGCTTAACCTTTATGCTTGGGGCCGGCCCTGGAGCCGAACGTTGGTGCTGGCGTACCACCTTTGAGACGGTCTGGCAGGTGCTCGGAGGGTGCAGGTCAACAGCCATGCTGCCGCCCAGTCAGGGCTGTGGGACTCCATCAGCAGACCACTAGGGCACCAGTGGGCAAGGCACAGCCTCGGCAGACGGGACAGTCTTTCATGCTCGGGGCTGGAAGGGGGGTCGTGCATGGCCAGGGCCAGTGTGGCAGGCTCCCTGTGCGGATCTGTCCTCCAAGTCCCTCAGCTGCAGCTGTGGGATTTCCACACACAGACAAGTATGTATTCTGTGAGCCTCGCTGAGCCCACACAGCAGAGCAGAGCCAAGGAGGATTCCATTCTGCTTTGCACATCGGTGACTCTGCTGCCAGCATGCCTCCAGGGCGAAAGCCTGGCCTGGTAAGGATGCAGGCAGGAGGCTGGGGCAGCTGGTGGGGGGCGTTAACGGGGACACACTTGGCTTTGATTGTTTAGACGAGTGAGACAGGGGAGGAGAAGAGCCGCAGAAACACACATACATCAGCCCCGACAGACCAGGGCACGCAGGGAGGCAGTCTGCTGTGACGAGTCGCTGACAGCGAGCCTGTGTGTGCGTGCACTCGCGCTTGGTCTAGGGAAACCCCGCCTCCACACGGAGAGTTGGCACACAGGGAGAAGGGGTCAACCCGATGCCAGTGCCACCCGGTAGAGACCAGCTAAGGGGAACGGGGCCTGAAATCCTGTTGGCCTCACCTTGAGCCCCAGGGGTCTGAGTCCTTGTTCACTTCAGAGCCTACACAGCGCCCCCTCTGCCTGCGTCACCGTGCATTTCAGGGTGCTTTGAGAGAAATCTGAAAGGAAGGGTGAAGGGACCCAAGAGGGTGGAAAAAGATCCAGGCACGTCCCCTTGTCTGCGAGCTTGTCATCTGTCGATGTCGCCCATTTCTCCTCTAGTTCCGTCTACACCAGACCAGCTGGGAGACCCACCTAGACCACTTCTCTGCGCCACGGGAGACAGGAGAGCTCGGAGGCAGTCCAGGGCGTCTGGGAGGCTCTCAGAAGAGCTCAGGTTCCTGGTGCGGAATGCACTTGGGTCAAAGGGCTCCCTGGGACAGGAGTGAGTTGCTCAGGCCAGGAGCGTTGGGAGAAGCGGATGGAAGCTGGCAGGGTTGGGGTGGGGAGCAGGTGCTGAGGTCGGGATGGTTTAGTTACAGGCTTGGAATTCCTAAGATCCTAAGAGAATCTTGTGCCTCTGGCTAAAACCAAGCAAGGCAGGCCAGCATGTAAAACAGTGACAGGGAGGCTCGCAGAGAGCGCGGGACATTCTTCCCCGAGAATCACTGCCTGGAGGCATCGCGCACCTGTTGCGATTTCCGAGTTGAACGGTTTCTCTAGCATCGAGGTTTGCAGATGTGGTCCCTCGATCAGCAGCCTCATGACCTCATTAGAAATGCAGATTCTCAGTCCTCTACCCGACTGGGTCCAAAACTCGGGCTATTTAATTAATTTATTTATTAAAGTTCGTGTGCTTGCTTCGGCAGCACTTACAGTAAAAAATAGTCTGTATCTCCCATGAGCAGGACAGATGAACACATCACCCCTGACAGGGTCCTGCCCCTGCGCTCCACCCTACCTCAACCTGCCCCAGACGTGGTACACACATGCCCGGCACCCTGAGGGGCTCCGGCTGGGAATGCGGCATCTCTGGGGGGTCTGCCTTGCAGAGCACTGTGTTTGCCCCTGCACCATGGCCCAGCTCGGCGGTCTGCGTCTTAGCCAGCTGATCCGAATGCCCCCTGCTGCCGGAACCACTGGTTTTGGCAGTGCAGCTAGAAGGTGGTCTGGGGGCCAGACGGAGCAGGGCTGTCAGAACGCAAGGTGGTTGCCATATTCCAGCACTGGCTGGGCAAGAGGGCTCGGGCAGGCCGCCGCCCAGGGTGTGCTCGGGTGAGCTGACCCGGGCTGACTCCATCCTTGGGCTCTCACCCCCTCATCCTTTCCAAAGAAATAATGAACCAGACCGGACCACAGTGTTGGCACAAGATCACACTTTAGTTCAGGGACACATTTGCATAAATACTTGAAGCGACTCCACCCCTGCAGGCAGCACCTGCGAGCCCAGAGCCTGCTCTCCAGGGAAGTGGTGAGGCCTCTGGGCGATGGCTGCTCCCGCGGGGTGGTCTGGGTTGTTCCCGAGGACTGCTTGGAGCCGTGGCTCTGGCTCTGACGTTCCCCCACTCCCGCCCCAATCTCACCGCTCTTAGCGAAGTTTTCCCCTCTGAGGTAGACTGCTTATCAGGGGAACCAAACAGGAAGAACTGTTCCGCGAACTTTGCTATTCCTCTGTGACAGGCTGGCTGTGCCCTGTCTGGGTCAATAAGTGCACTTTCACCTTGTAACCGATGCCTCGAACCCGAGCAAGGCCGTCTCTGTCTTCCACCCCCTCTCCTCCTCCCTCTCCTGCAGTCCCCGAGGACTGTAGCAGCGGAGGCCTGGGTGGCTGTGCCTCCTCAGTGCACAGGGTCACCTCAGCGGGGCCCTGGTCTGCACCCAGAGCTCCAGTGGGTCACGGGGGGCACGGCTGGCTTCCACAGGGCTTTGCATCCTCGGGTTTCAGAGCCTTGTCACAGGCAGCAGAGGCCTGGCCGGAAGGGTCCCTGCACTCCACGCTGCGCCGCTGCCAGCCGGCTCCACAGGTGCCCGAGCACCCCGACCAGTCGCCCAGCACCCAGTGCGCGTGCGGCAGCGGCTGGATGACGTTGGTGGTCGCTCTCTCCCTGCTGTTGCCAGGGCTGAAGTCCACGTGGTTGGGAACGAAGAAGGAGTACTTGACTTTGGGGGGGAAGACCTCGCCAGGGACGGTGAGCAGCTGCACAGTCAGAGGCTCGGGCAGGGGCCGGAAGCTCTGCAGCCTACCCACCGTGTTCATTGCGCGGCTGATCCCCAGGATGTACTGCTCGATGGCGGAGACGGCCAGGTTGCCGTTGAGCAGGTAGCGCCCGTCCGCAGTCTTGAGTGCCAGGTAGTTGCCGTCGTTCTGAACCCCCGGGTGGCTCCGTTGTTTCACGTCAATGTTGGTGGCACCAGCTGGGATGGTGACAATGTCACTGTAGCCATAACTGACAGGAAGAGAAAGACACCCTTAGGACAGTGGCTATGAACCCTGGTCATGACAGTGCCCCAGGGGCTGGAGTGGGGCGACAGAAACAGCTGCAAACATGTCAGCAGCTGCCTCCGAGCCCTAAATGAGGGAGCTGCTGTCTGGCGCTGGGGCCCTCAAAGGGCTTTGCTTTGTCTGACAACCGTGTTTCAGGTGTTGGGGGGTGGGGGACTAGTTCTGTGGCTCTTACTGGCTCAGAGAGGAGAACCCAGAGAGGAATAAAAGCTGCACCGATCAGACAGATGGGCACCTCTTTGGTCCCTGAGGCCTCAGACTCTGCGTGGAAAACTGCATGGCCGCCTCCACACCAGAGCTCACGCCACGTGGACATACAAGCCGCACGCACAGTCCCCAAGCCTGAGCAGAGGGCTCTCCCAGCACCTGAGTTGGCTTGGTTAGCGTGGCCTCAGGTGGGATAGAGGAAGAGCCTCTTCCTTGGAGCCGCTCGGAGGCCTCTGCTTCTGGGTGCCCGGATGCTGTTCAGGAAGCCACCAGGTGCTGTAGGACCGGGCTTCCTGTGGCAGGGGGAACTTGTTCTTTGTTGCCTCCTGGGGACCCGGGAAGAAAGCCAAGACCTGGAGGAGGGTGGCTGAAGCGTCTCAGCGTCGCCACCATGCACCAGCTGGGCAGGCTGCTCAGAACGGCAGGCTGCATGTCGCATGCCCTGGACACGGCTCAGGGGCTCAGCAGCCCACACTGCTTTTTTTCCTCCTCCACATCCTTTGGGTCTAAGTGTGGAAAGACTCATAAGTTGTATGTTATAGGCTGACTCTGTTCTCTGAGACTGGTGAGATGAGAGAGGGCAAGGTGGGTAAGCTTCACTAGGCAGGATCCCACAAGGGAATGCTTTCCCCAAACTCAGAGGCTTGCAGAGGGAGCTGCGGGAGGACGGACGTGTTCCTATGGCCAAGGACTACGGCCCCATAGCAGTGTGGCTCACGTGAAACCCCAAGCGGCATTTCCTCCGCAGGAATCTCATGGGCGGCTGGAAGCAGAATCATCAAGCCTTAACCGTGGGCTCCCTCGCTGGTTGTCACTAACCATCGGTGTCCCCTTAGAAGATGGGAATGGATACAATGGGAAACGATAGCGCTGGCCCTGTCCACCTCGCACTTGTTTTAGGAGTCAAATGAGACCGCAGGAGGGAAAGGCCTTTGGAAAATCCCAGGAGGCTTATGGACGGGACCTCAGGGCTTCACAGAAAGAGTCGTGAAAACTCAAGGCACTGAGGTCCCTCCTTCATGCCCCTTCTTGGAGGATCTGCCTGCAGAGGGACAGGGCTCCAGGCTCCCGGCATGGTGGCCTTTCCCGAACAGGCCTGGCGAGGTCCATACTGGCCGCTGCGGCCTGATGGAGGCCAAGCTGCCCATCGTGTGGCCGCCTGCTCCAGGCTGCCCCGGGGTCTGTCCTGTCTATAGACTGCCTCGTGCTCTGCACCTCCCACCTCACGAGATCCTCACAACTCCCAGACAGAGGTGCCTGCTGACGTCATGCAAAGAAACAGTGCAGAAGCTCCAAGAATCTCCCAATCCACACAGCTTGGATGCAGCAGCCTCAGCGCAGACCTGGGCCTGTCATAGCCCAAAGCCCAGGACGTTCTTTTAGCTTGGACGGCGCCCCTGGGGAGACGCACCTGGACGGGCTGAACGACCCGAAGACCTTCCTGCATGAGTTGCCTTTGCCCCCACACACCCCACACTTGTCCAGCTTCCTGGGTGAGTCCACCACGTGGTCACAGCCCGCCTTGACGCACTGGCCACGCACACAGATGGCCAGAGTCTCCGGCCCGCACAGGGTCCCGTCGATCACCTGCAGCGGGGAAGAGAGGTGGTGAGGGCAGCAGGGTGTTCTGGCTGGTGGCGGGCACTGCCAGCCTGCCTCCCCGTCTGGGCCTGGGTCCTGCCGATGCTCACCTTGGCCTCAAACACTTTGAACTCGCTCCTCCCCCGGGCTCGGCAGAATAACTTGCAGCGGTCCCGGGGGGAAACGCCTGCGTACTTGGGGACCCACTGCAGGAGATTCCCGTCCATGTCGGTGAAATTGTAGGCGTTGTACTTCTCACACTGCTGCTCCCTGAAGCTCTTCCCTGGGAGCAAGAAGCCGAGTGACACACAGAGTTGAAGCAGGCTGGGCCCGGGGGAGAGCGCCGGGCCAGCACCTTCCCCCCTTGGCTTTGGGCTCAACCTGAGGACATAGGCCTAGCACCCTCGGCACCCAGCGTTCCTGGACAGCCTAACGTTGATGCATGTGGGGGCCTCAGGGGCCAGGAAAGGAGCCCTCAGCCTCTCACTGGGCTTTCTGGGCCACGTGCACACCCATCTGGAGACTGTCATTCTATTTCACACTAGGAAAAACAGGCGGTGAGGACAACTCGGCAAGTGTGGGAGGGCATGGCGTGATCTCAGGAGTCTGCTTTTATGTTCAAGCCCGACCTCCTCGGTGACACTGGATGCGTGACCAAAGACTCCCAGGCTCCGTTTCAAGCGTCAGTCCCCCACATCCCACTTTGGCAGTTCTGGGTGCCCAAGCTCGCTTTGTCTATGGGACTTTAGAAGGTTGGTGGGAAATGGAATTAAAGTATAACCGCAAAAAACATCAAAATCGGGACTAGCAGGTGGTGTAATGGTTATATCACTAGACTCCCATGTAGTTGACTGTGGTTCGAGTCCTGGACCTGTGACTTAAAACTCACCCTGGGCGTGTGTGCGTGCATGCCCAAGATCCCCAGAGGAGAATGGAGAAGCGATAGTGGAGTGGCCATCCCCTCTGGGGGTGATTTCTCACTTTCTGTCTCTCCGGCAAGTACATGTGCCCTATAGCAAAAATCTCTCTTAAAAAATCGAAATCCAGGCACTTTCTCATAATACCCCTTTTCCATGCACTGTCGAAGACCCCTCACTGAACTGCTGCTTTCTCCCACTCAGCAAGGCCAGGCTCCACACGTCCCCACCAGTGGCTTCCATTTTCACTTGGTGATTCAGGCTCAGAATCTCTTATCTGAGATGCTTGGGTCAGCGTGTTTTGGATTTCCAATCTTTTCAGATTTTGGAACATCTGCATGTGCATTATGAGGTACTTTGGGGAAGAGACCCAAGTCTAAACACTAAATTTCAGTGTTGCACAGGCACCGCGTCCGCAGGCCTGAAGGTAACTTTATACGGTGTTTCTGTACTGCAGCATTTCGGCTGTGACCCGCACAAGGGGCCAGGTTTGGAATTTCCTCCTGCGGTGGCATGTCGGTGCTCAGGAGGTTTGGGGTTTTGGGGCATTTCAGATTCTTGAATTAGGGACAACCTGCGACTTGAAATGCCCACATCCTACCCTCACCGTCCCATGCTCTCGTGGCCTCATGTGGCACCTACTCCCATCTCTTGCACAGAACGGCCTCCTGGCACACCAGCTGCACGCCGCTTCCAGACCAGGCCACGTGAACAAGGTGTGGACGTGGGGGACAGATGGGGGCACAGTGGTAGCACGTGCTCTGTGAGCCTGACCCACTGGGAGATTCCGGGTCTGTGTCTAGAGACCTCCCTGGATACACCGGACACACATGCACCCCTGAGCCAGGGCTGGTTGAGGCCAGGAGTGGCTTGTGGCATTGAGACATTGTTGGGGGAACTGTTTCTCTGTCTCTGTTTCTCTTGCTGATGGGAGAAATGAACAAAAAGATGTGGGTGTTTTCCCTAAAACCTGCCCTTCCTACTGAGGCCCTCCACTCCATGTGGCTGAATGGCCTGTGGGGAGTCCCCCGACCAGGCGCCGTGCTTCATTTCCCACCCCTGCCGGATTCTGCATCAGGTGGGGTTCTGAGCGGTGTGGAGGGGCTGGCATCGACAATGCCCATGCTGCTTCAGCCTCCAAGAACCTTTGTGACCTACTTGACTCCACCCGAGTGACCCAGACCCCTTCTCACACCTCCCCTCCTGGCCTGTCCTCTCCCACCTTGCCGCATCTCAGTCCTCAGGCCTCCCCTGTCTGAACTCCCCTCTAAACCTTTGCCCTCACCCAGGCTTTTCCTTACTCCGGATTCCTTGCAGACCTAGGCCCCGTGCCTCGTCGACTAGGCCTTCACTGCTGTGTAAATTGGGTCTCTGATTAGACCTGAGCTGTCTGGGGAGACACCATGCCTTGTACAACTTCGTCATTTATGATATCTGTCACAGTTCTAGACACACCAGAGGTACAAAAGAATGCTTACGTGAACCAGCCAATACAGCTGACACTGCGTTGGCCCCTGTCCATGCCCGCCTCATACCTTACACTCTCCCCTTTCCAAGAACATTTCACCCACATCCAGGCAAACCCTCGCAGCTGGAACAGCCTCCCAGAGCCTCTGCCATTGCCGATTCTTCCCATCTTGCAAAACCGCAAAGCCTACAGCCGTGCGGCAGCCTGATGCCAGAGCGCTTTGCGCTTGGCTGTCTCCCTGAGAGCTCTGCTTGTCTTTTCTTGCCTGCCAAGACTTCCCAGAACTGCACAAGGGGAGCTGGACGGGCTGGCGAGGAAACCTCCCGATGTCCTCTCGCATGTCTGCTGCGCCCCGCTAAGTACGTGTGTGCTTTCCAGCGGGCGCTAAACCACAACACGCCAAGAGGTGGTGGTGGCATTGCTGCCTGGGAGGTTCCCTTGCCCACCCTCAGGGAAGATGGGCAGAAGGAACGTGCGTGGGAATTGGGCTCAGAACCCCCTCCGCCTGGGCTGAGTGCTGCTGGAAAGACCTTGGAGGTTTGGCTCTGAGACTTGCTTTGGAAAAGGCTTCTGTCCTGCACACAGAGGCGGGCTGGGTGCCTCTGGGAGGATTATCATCCTAGACGCTAAGCCCTCTGCAAAGGCCCCTCCCCAAGCAGTCTGATTGGGTTCTCCTGGATTTGCCAGATACCCCAACACTTGAGAGCTGTTCTGAGTCCCTGAGGGCAGCCCCCAAGCCCATCTCAGTCTGATCACCCCGCCTCCCAGGAGCCCCGACCCCTCCTCGGGATCTGTGGCAGCAGACAGAGCAGCGCTCTGCGGGTGCAGCCGAGTGGCGGTTACCATCAGGGGGGCACTCCTCTGTGTGGCAGGACTGGTACTTGGCCCTCTGGCCCAGGCAGTATCTTCCTCCGTTCTGAGGCTCGGGGTCCTTGCACTCCCGGTGTGAAAACTGCACACCTCCTCCGCAGGTCCGGGAGCATTGTCCCCAGGGCCCCCATGGGGCCCAGCCTCCATCCACCACAGCCTGTAACACACAATGCCCTGCTGAGTCAGGAGGAGCAGGCGAGGGGCTTCCAGGCTGGCCCTGACTGCCCACCTTGGTGCCCTGGGGCTCGTTTGCCTAGTGACTGTGTGGTCAGCTCAATTGCACTCTGTGGACAGACTGCTGGGTGCGTTCACACGGACCCCCACACTGCTCGCCCCTTCGTACGGTGCCGGCAGAGCCTCGTTGAAGGAATGAGAACCTCTTACGGGAATGCATCAGCCGTTCATGGCCCAATTCCCCATGGCTGTCCCGGGGACAGTCGGCAATGCCTGGAGACACTGTGGTCCCCACCCGGGGAGGCCGTTGCTACTAGCACCGAGTGGGTAGAGGCTGCAGTGAAGATGAGGTTGCCAGGAGGTCCCAGCGCCCAGGAGGAGACTCCCGGCCTGAAGGAGTAGTGCCTGGGAAGTGCTGTGCTTGTCCACCTGGTGCCAGCGTGAGGACGACACCTGGAGGAAACAGAATTGCTTCTCATTGTACTTCTGACCTATGAGAGCAAAGCTTTGCCCTTGCAAGGTACATAGTGTACAAATAGAAATAATTTTTAAAAAGTTATCAGAGTATGTGGGGCCAGCAAATAGCATGGCAGTTATGTCACTGGACTCCCACATGGCCAGCTGCAGTTCGAGTCCCAAACTGGGTGGCTTGAAACTCACACCAGGTGCGTGTGCATGCGTGTGCGTGCGTGTGCATACCCAAGATCCCGGGAGGAGAATGGAGGAGAGATTGCGGCATGGCCATTTCCTCTGGCAGTGATCTCTCACTTTCCCTCCCACTCTCTGACTCTCTCTTGCGAGCGCAATGTTCTAAGGCAAAACATACACCAAACAAAAAGAAAAAAGTCATCAGAACGTGTAGCCCAGCAGTGGCAAGGCAGGAAGTCATCAGAACGTGTAGCCCAGCAGCGGCAAGGCAGGAGAACAGGTGCTCATGGGGCCGGCCCACACAGAGGGCTGCCTGTACCCACGATCCGGGCTGGCTGGACTGGGGGTGGATTGTGGTGTCACGACCCCCTTGGGGGTGGTGTGCCTCTGTCAGTTCAATCATGGAATACATTTTAAAAAGTTTTTAAATGACAGAAGAAATACTTGCTTATTTAAAAAGCCAAAAATACAGACATGTGTAAAAAGAAGGTAACATGGTTTAAGAACAGCACTACCCAGATAAACCACTGCCATGCTTCTTGTAACGTCCTGTGGTACTTCCCTAAATGTGTACTCCTAATGACGTTAGGGTTTTATTTTATTTTATTTTTTTGAGAGTTTTTTTTTCTTTTTTTTTTTTTTTTTTGCTATAGGGCACGTGTGCTCGCCAGAGAGAGAGAGAGAGACAGAGAGGCAGAAAGCAAGAAATCACCCCCCAGGGGGGATGGTCACGCCGCAATCCCTTTCTCCTCCATTCTCCTCTCGGGATCTTGGGCACGCACGCACGCGCGCCCGGCGTGAGTTCTAAGCCACTGGGTCTGGGATGCAAACCGCGGTCGACTACATGGGAATCCAGCGACATAGCCATTACGCTAACTGCTGGTTCCCAGGATTTTATTTTACAAAGATAAGCTTCTGTATGCATAGACTAGTTGATGATCTTTTTTTTTTTTTTTTTTTTGAGGGGTTTTTGCTATAGAGCGCATGCACTCGCCAGAAAGAGAGAGACAGAGAGAAACAGAACCCCTCGGGGGAATGGCCACACCACAATCCCTTCTCCTCTCAGGATCTTGGGCACGCATGCACACACGCCTGGCGTGAGTTTAAGCCACCAGGTCTGGGACTCAAACCGTGGTCGACTACGTGGGAGTCCAGCGGCATAGCCATTCGCCAACTGCTGGTCCCTTGATGATCTGTCTTTTCTCCTTGAAAATCATCCATGATAAACATCATCTCAAGGCTGGTTTCATGCCAACCTTGGTCTGCTTCTGGGGATGGGTGGGTGAACTCTCTCTTTTCCCCTTGAAATGGTGTCCAGG